TGAGGCAGATTTTGCTAGGTTCACCTCTAGTAGATGAGACAGAAAAAGAAAATAACTTATTGGCTGCAAATGCCATTGACCCATGGACGATTTTGAAGACGGTGATCAGGTCGTTCTTTAACCTCCGTTTAGAAAGAGAATCCAGATTAAGCATTTTATTTCGAATAATGGCCCGTGGGATACTGTTGTAAGTGTACCCTAACGCTCTTATAAAAAACTTTCCTAGTGAAACTATTTTGCACACGTTCAATAGCCTGGATGATTTTTTTCTTGTATGGAAAGAAAATACTTGTCCCATATTCGAGAATAGGTCTGACATACATCTTATAAGCCTTGATCAAAACGGAGGGATCTTTACTACTAAGCGCCTTCAGCAACAGAAATAGTCTTTGCTCCGCTTTAGCAGCAATTTTAAGGCAATGAGAGTCGAAGCTGAGCTTGCGGTTAACAGTAAATCCTAAGTCCTTTATTTCAGAAACTTCATCAATAGGGGATCGTGAAATAAAATACTTATTCTTGGGATTGTTTCTACCGAGATACAATGTTTTGGTTTTCTCACAACAGATAGGCAGATTCCATCTGACAGACCAAGCGTAAACAATATCAACGGCCTTTTGAATAGCAGAGCAGTCATGTGAAGATGTAACTGCCCTGTAGATCTTGATGTCATCGGCAAACATCTGACAAATATGGTTTGGGGGAGATGGTGTGCCCCTGTCGAATTCCTCTTTTTATATAGATGCAGATCTGCTTGCTGACTCGCCCGCGCTACCGTAACGCTGTGAACGCTGCCTAAGCATGAGCATCATGTCTTCAGACCCTAAAACGAGAACCCTCCGTCCATTGAAAGATCGTTTCGCACATACGACTGGCGCGACCGCTGGGAATTCACCGGAGCGCGGGACATGCACCGCCTCAATGCAGAAATCAACATGTGGTGGGAGTTAAGTGATTTTCTGAGGCACATCATGTGATAGCAGCGGACTAACCTGCCTTACAGCTACTGGACATTCTCTTCTTCCTCTGCGTTGCCGCACCAGGAGGCTCACCATTTCCGCTCGTGGTAGGTGTTATCGATATCCGTGAAACGGGGAGGGAATGGCTGTGTACTTCTTGAACCTAGCGCACGACGCTATTCTCCTTTGGATATTTCCATTTGGGACAGCTGTCACCATATCTTAGGCTGGACAGGAACAAAATTACAGTTTTTTAAAATATAATAGAGAATACTCCCCTAAAGGCGCCACGTTCATACGGCACAACAGCAACGCCCTCACATTACAGGATAAGGAGTGTACTGGTTATGACTGTAGGCACTTGGAGTAGTGTAGTTTGAAAGTCTGATGACGCACTTACCGCCAGAATTACCAGTTTATCGCCAAAGGAAACCATATATAGAATCTTTAAAAGCGTCTGTCCAACACTTTGAAGCAAGTCAGCGAGCAGATCTTCATCGATGGGAAAAGAGGAACTCGACAGAGACACGCCATCTTCCCAAACACTAATTTGCTAACAATAAGGTTAAGTGATCCGGACGAGTTGTACCACCCAAGAATGCGTCAACAAGACGTTATACGGTCTTTGGCGATGTGATCATGCCATACGACATACGCCCCTGCTAAAGCACCCTAGTCACAGCCCGCGTCGGCAAGAGCGCTTGTAATCGATATGCTGCTTCATGACCAACTGGCTGTTCGGACGCCGAGTATAGACGTAGCCTCAATATGGTTGCTACGATATCGCACCAGTTCGGCTTGGTGGGGGCACCACACGCTACTCCGCGATACTCGTACAGGCTACCTTGTAAGACCTTTAAATTTCCGAAACTCGCGTGTCTTACATGCACCACCGCAACTTCACAAGAATTTACAGGTCTCAGCAAATCGAACATCTCAAAATGAAAAGCTAGCAGAAGGAACAGTGAACTTGCAAAGTGCCCCCTCCAAGCCAAAAAGCACCCGACACTTCACAGCCTCATCGAATCCCAACACAAGAAGGACGTTTATCCCTCAACTTCTCGTCCTGGACTGATAACCAGATTCGGACCAAAAGTCTCATTGACTGAACTTGTGACAACAATTTACTCCAGATAAACTCATATATTGCGAAACAATACGTAACACTTATATAAAAAAATAAACTGCTGATACTACGAAATTACACTGGGTCAACTACAACGAGCAATTCGAATAATAATGGAAGCGCGACACGCCAGCAACCTCAACATCGCATAACCAATTACTACTACAAAAGAAACTCAACTTAGCATTATCAGAACACTATAACAAATAACATAAACCTTCTAGTGATACATATAAATCATTCCACTAAAAAAACATTATCTCGTAAACTCATATCTCTTAGCCGTAAAAGAAAAGTCTCTCGCTCAGTGGTTGCATCTACCGTAATAAAGTCACACATTTAGGCTAAACACTCTTTAAAAGGGACAAATTTGCGACGAGGCGCGATGGTGCATGAGCACGCGCGTCTTTGCAGCCCCTGCTAACCCTTCATGAAGTCGAGCTATGAGAAGCAAAACTCGGACACATGTGGGCGGGGTCAGCTACATGTGGGCCGCCTCCGCCCACATATGTCCGAGTTTAGCTACCTGTCGCTCGACCTATGAAGAGGTAGCAGAGCCTGCGTTAATACTCACATAAAATCATGGATCAATGACAACGGACACAATAAGAAAACAGGTTCAGATCATGAACATAAGAAGGATGATGTTGAGGATGAGACGATGATGATGAAATGGTAGAGAAAAGAACTGTAGTGGGCAGTGAATGGAGGAATTATTACTCCCGGCCAGATGCCATCGCACAATCCGAAAGACGTTAAAGAGAAACGGGTTTAAGGAAGAATGAAAAAACATAACAAAACAACATCAATTTCACTACAATGAGCACCTAAACAGGCGATTTCACGACTGAAACTTCAAATTCTAAATAAACCGCCCATATAGTGATCATTACCATGAAATGAGTGCCAACAATTACTCATATAAGAAAAAAATCGCCTCAAATACGAAACAAAATCATTAATAAAGATACGACGGTGACTACTATAACAACAAATAGCGCTATGGAAAACATAAACGATGCTCTAGGCCGCTGGGAGCAATGACTCTCGGGAGGAAAGATTTCTTTTTTAGAAAATTCTGTGAAGCAAATTTCTCGCTCTCATCGCATGCTGGTACGTACTTGACAAGCAGTACAGAAGCCGGGGAGTATAGGAAGTGTGGAGAGTGGTAGGGATGAACCAGAGCGTGGTGCAGGTGGGCGGCCTCTACATTCTATGACAAGCCCCGCCCACTTGGACGAGTTGCCTTCTAGTTGGGCCAAAATCATCTTTGGCATGCACTATGATCATTTTAGTCCTCGAAAGAAAACAAAAAGTTATGCTCGCTCCTACACCACGCTCAATTTCATGCCTAAAATCTAGTTTTTAGCAGTACTCTGTGTGGTGCGACACAATGTAGAAGAATAGGCTATGTTCATACTTTGCGTCAGCGTACGCCAGCGTACGGCAGCCTATGCCGGTGACCAGGAAAGTATGGATATAGATCTAGCGTACCTCAGCGTTTTCGCGGGCAATTCAAGCTTGAGCAAAATTGCTCGCGAAAACGCTGTTGTGCGCCAGATCGATATCTATACTTTCTTAGTCGTTGGCGCTGACGTACGTTCGAAACGCTGCCGTACGCAAAGTATGAACGCGGCCATACAGGGCTGCTACGCAGCTGCGCATAGGTAATTTATCCCTCAAAAACGGCGTCGCAACACGCAGCAACCTACTAAAAGCTGGGCTGAATTGTGCACACCCGAAAAACACTATAGAAAAAAGGTAACCGTAACTTCGAACACCACGTCATTCTCTACTCATAAGGGAAAAGTGGAAACTATTTCGGTGCAAGATTGAAAAATTGAGAAACACAAACGAAAACAATCGTACCCGATGATACTTGAACTAGTCCAACGACGTGATGCCCGAAGAGAATAAAGAATTCGACAAAATAGGACCGGATAGCAATCAGGTATGGGGAAAATGTGACACGATGCACCACCGGAGCGAAAACAAGCCTCACAGGACAAAACTCCAAAAGGAAAAAAACGAAAAACAAAAAAAAAACGAGCTGGGGAGTAGAAATAACAAGCTGATTAGAAATATATGTGTGATAGCTCAACGTATACCGATTAAAAAATTAAACGGGATACGGTCTCACCTCTAACAGGAGAGAACCAGCGGGTCGTTTCTGTTATTGAACGCGTTCACTAGCACCTATTCTCTATAAAAACAACGACTATGGAGGAATGACATTCCCACCGACACACATAATGCGTCTTTGGCTACGACAGCTTAAGCGGCATCAGTAGCGGCAGTTTGGATGACACAAGGCGAGGCAAATTACCGCACTAGAGGCGCTTGGGATGTGGGTGGTGGCGACGCCGTTGGTGGCACCAACGCACCGCCCTCAAGGTGTCGAATCGCATCCAGGATCGTTTGCAGAGAACGATGTGCTGTGATCGACGACGAACTGAAGGCGGAAGGTGCCGAAAGCGGTCCCGACGTAGCTGCCGATGATGTCAACGTCGGTGGTATCATTGGTGATGGTGCTGGTGGCATCGGAACTGCCATACGTGGCGAAACGTCTACTGAAACAGGTACTCTTTACAAAACAGGCACAATCTGATGAGCTAAAAACCTCATAGATATTTTTAGTATTCAGTATTCACACTAAATATCTATGCGTAAATAACAACATAATGTAATTAGAGTGGCATAATAGATAGCGCCCTCGCCCGAAAAATATGGGGAACGGGAATCGCCTGAGGTCAAGACTTTTGTCCGTAAACCACCTAAAATAACGCATCCTGAGAAAGAGAAAACCCGTTGGCAAAAGAATCCTAGCCATTCTCTACATCAGAAATCCTACAAGTTAAAATAGGACCTCAGCCGTCATGTAGACGTTTTCGGTGGGAGCTCGATTGTTGCAGCATTAGGAAGAGTAGCAGCATCACCCCGTCCTTGCAGGATGACCCAAACGAAGAAAAGCTTTGAAATGCTGCACAGAGAGAGAAAGTACATGTAAAAGAACCATCAGAATACTATGGATAGCACTATTGGGCCGCGTTCCTATATTTCGACCCAAGCATCGGTCTGGAGAGAATTAGAATTCGGAAAAAGCAAAAAAACGTACTGTCCCCCCTTTTTTCGAAGAATTTCTAAAAAAACAGAAATGGAAAAAGTAAAAGGAGAAAATTAAATACGTGCTGTATCATCTCCTAGTCCGCGATTTTCCAGAACGTTTTCCAATACCCTATGTGATGGACTCAATCGATACATACCTAATCTTTACGTGGAATTCTGATTCCCCATCGTCGCTAGGACTGACCGCGGCCTGTGGCGGGAACTGAAGGGGATCAGGTCTGTGACTACTCTTTCTGCTTTCTCGTTCTCGTATATACTGCACTGAGACAGACTGGGTGTGGGGTTATGATAGGGCTCACTGGAGTGGCCTGTTAGTAAAACGGCACATCAAGGCAAACGCAGGTTTAGTTTGGGCTATCCATTCAATCTCGATCGATAAATAATAATAATATTTAGACGGGGTTAATAAGTGATGATATTTAGACGGGGTTAATAACCTGGGGGGGGGGACTTATCTGCAAGCGCTTGTTAGCGTAGCACATCACAAACTGTATACATGTGAATATAGGACAGCCTTGTCTACACCCTGTAATTCTTGTTATCACTTTCGAGCACCCTGTGAACTACTGTCAAACTTGGCGATGGTACTAGCATCAATGGAAAGCCATTCCTGCGTTTTTTCCCCACAACCTTGATGAGTCATTTTGACAAGTTCTACAGGGGTTTACAGGTGCTTACAGGTGATAACAAGGCTCACACGCTGTTGACAAGGGTGTCCGGTACACACATGTATGCAATTTACAGGATTTGGTACGCTGACAAGCGCTTACAAGTGTGCCCCCCAAGGTCATCAGCACCTATTCAAACTATCGAAATTAAATATGACAAGTAGTTGTTCATGAGAAGGGAAATGCGGATAAACCTGTGGAATCGCCAGGTACTGGATCACAATGGTTACGGGAACCATGCTTCTCCCTCACTCCTACCTCAGATTCAATATTGAAAATAAAACTGACAAGTACAATAACTTGTAAAAGCTCTAACAAAGTCTATCGCTCAGAAACCTGCGGATTAACTCAAGTTACGAATAAAAACCAAGCCAAGCACTCACCCGAAATCGGCGCAATCAGTGGCGTTGGCCGTATCACCGAATCATGAACGCTCATCGTCGTTGTGGTGATGGTAATCTTCGCAGCTGAGTTAGCGATTTGTTGCGCAGTTGGTTGCTGTTGTTGTTGACGGTGTTGCTGTTGTTGTTGCTGCTGCTGTTGCTGCAGCGTCGGGCTGTTCGATGGATTCAGTGCCGCTGTTGCCACAACGTTCAGTCCGTTTTGATACATTTCTCGCATTTGATTCAGCTGCTGTTCCAGAAACATACGCGTTGTACGTTCACGTTCCAACGCCATTTGGAGGCGATCAATCATCGAACGTTGCTGCTCGTATTCCACACAGTCGTCGACTAAACGATACAATATCACTCATGCTGATGTACTTAAACTTATATTATGAAGTTGTAACTGTAAACTGAAGCAGGACATCAGAGTATTGTGCTGTCCCGGAGTCTCATTTCTTATCTGAATGTGTAAAACAATGTGAAACTCCAAAAATTTATTCCAAAAAACTCAAAAGACAACAAAAGTCTCAAAAGTTTTTCAAAATATCTTATCTTGCGATATTTCGGTGCGTAGCACCTTCGTCAGGTCTGAATTAAGCTTGTTTTTAGTTGGATATACGTCCTACAGAAATACAACCCGCAACTCGGACTCCTCCCTCACTAAGCCACTTACCCAGTTGTCCCGAAATAAATGGAATGGAAAATAAATAATTCTTATTCCGGGACAACTGGGTAGTGGCTTAGTGGGGGAGGAGTCCGGGTTCAGTTGTATCTTGTAGAAGGTAAACTATCTAAAACTAAAAAAGCTAAGGTAATTATTATTACAACGACGAACCAGAATATCGCCAAAGATAAGAATTATCTAAAACAAACCCGAGACTTTTGTGTCTTATTTGATTATTGAAATAAAATTTTTGGAAACTTTCACATCTGTTCTATAATTCGATAGAAGAGGGCATATAAGTGGCAACTCTTTGGTCAACCGTGAAACCCGTATGTAAGCATTTCCATGGTACAATGGAAGAGAATCTGAAGACACATTTCGCGCTTGCCATCAATGGTTATAGGGCATCTGTCAATTTGATATTCCCTCGCTGGGAGGGTCCAGAGGGATTTTGTCTAGCGCACATTCAAAGAGAACCTTTAAAGACACTGCGATTGATTTGTAAGTACTGAGGTCAGCAATCAAAGGCATATAGCTGGATGACTTGGCAGTGAAGTAAAATGAAACCACAACAAATACCAAATAAGATCTCTGTAGGTTTCGAACGCCGTGCAAGCACGTGGCTATGACGGCACGTGCTTGGATATGTTCTCACTTGTTATATCACAACACGTTCGAGTTTCTTGCAATCTTGGCATATCCTTCTGCTTTATTTCTTCTAGCCTTTCCAGGATTGAGCAGCTTTATAAGAGGCCTACGTTTCGGCGTCTTCGCCTTCGTCAGAGCCTGAAATGGTCACAAAACATTTCGAGACATGCTCGCTCAAACATTTCAACAGTACTCAAGACGATTTCCACAAACCAGTAAATCACTCAACGATCCAGGGCGTAACGCTGGCTTACGTTTATCTCGACCGTGTGACGCGGGGGCACCACCCTGCAGAGGCTCAAACGTGGAGTGAGGATTACTAGTAACGGGCTGCCCCTGACCTCGCCCGATAGTCAGAAAACTGATAACATGAAAGCTGGGGTTACTAAGTAATTGACCACCGCGTCAATCCAGTGTTGAGGCCTCTACATGTTGGTCGCGTCCCCTCGCGTCGACGCGGGTCGAGATCAAGGTAAGCCAGGCGTGTCTCTGCCTGGATCGATGATCGTTGAGTGATTACTGGTTGTCGGGATCGCGCGTGATACGTGTTGAAAGTGTTCAACGGAGCATGTACTGTCGAAATTGTTTGTTGACCATTTAAGCTCTGACGAAGGCGAAGGCGCCAAAAACGGTAGGCCTCTAATAAAGTTGCTCTGAATCGTGGAAGAGGCCTAGGAAGAAATAACAGAAACTAATATATTCAGTATCCCAATCACTTGTTCACCTTCGAATGCGCCTTCGTCACAAAGTGGTCGCTCCACCGCGCGGGTAATGGGCCGAATTTCAGTGATTGCCCCCCCGGCGGCCCGCCCAAGCGAACCGACCTTTCTACCGAGACGGTGAACGGTACCGACAATTCGCGCTGTGGGATAAGAACACTGGACTTATTCCCCCCCGCGCCGGGCCCTCACGTCAATTCAACTGAGTTAAGCCATAACTGCACATGCATGAGCACTACGATTCTGTATAAACTGAACTGTTAGGGATAGGGAATACCTAACATCCAGAGTTCAATTTCTGATTCCATGCTTGGTTGTCGTCTAGGAGTGACGTTTTCCCCCTAGAATGTCATCCTGCTTTTTTTTTCCACGCCGCACTAAATATGTTATCACCTGGTTTGTGGTTATGTTACCTTAAAGGCATGAGGTACCGCGGACTGCAAGGTGGTCATAAGCTAAATTTGTCGATTTTTTTATTCTTCTAGCAAAAATTCCTACTGGAGAGTTCCCTACCTATCCTGACGATTGCCTGTTTCTTCAGTTTAGAATTAGGTAAGGTTGTAGTTTTCATTTAATGGCATATAACTCAATTGTTGTAGAAGCGCACCTGTGCGTGCATAAAGTAAATAAATAAATAAATAAATAAATGAAAAAAGAATGTTTACCGCATCTTAAAAGAGATTGATCAAGGTGAAAGTCTGATTCCCTAGAAAGTTCCTTGTCTCTGTTTGCGGAAAAAGTGTAGGCTGGCTGAAGGGGCGGAGCGTGGCCAATATGGCTACCTCTGACAACCCAGACACTCATTTTCGAGCCGTCATAATGGTGCATACTCCGCCTCTGCGGATGAGCCAGAATAGCATTTTACATTTCAAGTTATTGTGGAATGCATCTTTAAGAGCCCTGCTATATTTTGGAGATTAGATATGATTCCTGAAGCTAAAAACATTCCAAGGATGCTATTCTGAACAAAACTCACTTTCAACCTTAGGTTTCTTGCCACCAACTTCATCTTTATCCGCATAACGAGAACGCTCACTTTGAAGCTGTTGAATAAGGTCTGCTGTATGTTGTAGTATCGCTGCTTTTGATAACTTTTCACCTTCCTGGAAACAATGGGGCTATTCCAACAACAGCTACAGGATTCGGGAAAAGGGTAAACTATACAATGTGAAAAATACGATACCTTTCGTGGTAGGAGAGCTCGCAAGGATTGGAAGCCAGCATTGATTGACTGCATTCGTCGTCGCTCATTGCAGTTGGCAATTTGCCGCCTCAGTCGGCGGTCCGGATCGCTGGAGTTTGGCGACAACGATGATGCAGAGCGCGACGTCGGTCTGAAGTCGGGCAATGAAATCGTTGGAATTTAATAGCATGGAAAAAGTGATGTATAGCCACTGGCCGTAACATCGTCATCATTTCCAACGCATATTTCAAAGAACCACTCCTTTTGAGGTTCGTGATGAGAGCGGGAGAAGCGGAACGGGGGCAAGCGCGAGGAACAGATTTTCACTGAACATGACCACCCAGCTGATTCCTGCTGGCTAGCTTAAAATCACACCACCATGTGATGCACTTTGTATCAGCAGTATTCTAACCGTCGCCTACATAAAAATCAATGCTGTCTGATAAACGATGATCAGCATTGTTCCCTCCTATATTGCGGCGCGTTCGCGTTCGTTCGTTGACGCCAAGTGCATATAACAAATGATGCAGAAACGCTGCTCAGCCCCATCACATGGGAACAGACGACACATTTCCTGGAAATTCGCCACTGCCACTGCTCATACTGCAAGCTTTTACACACATCCCCGCGTACGCTATTGGCTGTCGGGTGCGGTTAGTCACATGTGGTGTGTATGTGTGCGATAGATCAGCTGTTCACTTGAGCCACAGCGGCACAGCTACTAGCGTCCATAAACTCTCACTGGGCATGAAATGATCGCTCATCGCCATGATGCAACCGCTATGACTACGGAAAAAAAGGTTAGCAAAGCATCCATAGGTATGGAAGGTAGGAACAAGGTAAGGGAAGGGAAAGGAACTGGGTCGGAATGTTGCAAAAAGTCAGCTGTGCCATCAGGGTACAGCATCGTTGTTTGAAATACATAAAGGGTTCCTACTTCTCCGTTAGGGAGGGGGTGGTCCCATTTGGTCCGGAGAAGGCCGGGTCGGTATGTTGGGTTGGCAGAAATTTTGGAGGGGTCGATTTGGGTCACTGGGAGAAGGGGGTCGTTATGTGGGTTTGACGAGAAAGTTTGCCGCGTGCGGAACAAATTTTTGCGTTGGGGACTTTTCGCGCGATTTTTCTGTGCCGTTCGACAGCAAATTTTATTGGGTTGAACTGCGAAATAAGTAGGTTAGGTTGTTGGCGGGAAGGGGGGAGGGAGCGATCCGTTAACGAGACCCTCATTTAGGTGGGGTGAGGCGGGGGGCTGTACTACCAGTACCAATTCACCCGATCATGATGTGTATCCTGTGGCCTTTATGATCCCTGCGATCCTACAGAGGTACTCAATTTACAGTTCCCTGGCGTCAAACGGCCTCTATCTCTTGCCGCTTTGGCATTGGGATTGTAGAAACTATCGGAAAGGCCACTAAAAAATTTCGCCTATAACCCACGAAGACCCTTGGAGGAGGGAGCTGCCAAACGTCACTTACGTCACTGATAAGTCGTTTCTAAAAATTCTGCAGTAAATTGGATAGTTTCTTATGATGCTTTGTTGGTGATAGCTAGTCTCTGCGATTATAAGCACTTTCGCTGATTTTCCCAAAAATCCCAATTTTACCTTAAAGTGTGTGGAGTCAGCGTCGACTAAATGTTCGAGCACTTTCATAGCTAAAACATAGGAAAGCCCATTTCGGAATGTTTATGGGAAAGGCAGGTGTTTTCAGGAAGGCAAGGGAAGTTTCAACGATTAAAGATTCCATTTCGACTTCATAGGCAAACATCGGACCTGATGCTCCATTTAGCCCGACTGGGAGCTCACTGAATCACCTTATTCGAAGATCTATGCCGAAATAATGAGGGGAATTCTTGGTAGTTATAGTTAGGAATGCTCCCACATCATTGAGCACTACTCTCAGTTTTATGGGGAGAGGTTCAAAGTTGGGTTCTTATGGCAGCCGTTCTCCAAATGGGACCTGTCAAGGAATAAGGGAAAAGCAAATACACTCTAGTAAAGCAGAAAATTGTCTATCAACCAAAGTACAATACCTCGGGGAAAAATCTTCTCACTTTCACACAATTTTTTTGTGGAAAAACCATTACTTATGGGCCAACTGGACGAAACGAAAAATTTCTTCAAAATAAATGCTTCAGAAAAAATGAAGCTAGTTTGAGGAACAATTGTGGCGAAATTTCCACATCACCAAAAAATGACATCATGACATTTTTCAAAAAACACCCCAACTGCCACATTACTTGAAACATGTTTGATTCGCCATGTCCTTGTGCTGATTATGCATGCACCACCTCGGTGCATAGTCTTCACGACTCCATAGCAACACTATTGTTTGGCCAATCTCAATGAGAACTCTGTTCCATTCGGCTAGTCGCATTGTTTGTTGATGATCACACAAAGCGGGCGGGGGGGGGGTCGTATCTGATAGCGAGTTAGGGGGCCGTATTTGGTCTGAGAAAAGTTTTTTTGACAGTTGATTTATCTTGCTTTGAGAACGCCATAAAAGGGGCGGGGAGTCGTAATTGGTCGTTGTTGGGAAAGGGACTGCCAAAGGTCGATATAATTACTATTTCCGATAGTTGAAAATGATAGTAAAATCCTTAAATCCTGACGACCCCCACCCGCTCGACAGCAAAATTTTCGAGGAAACCAGAAATTTTTTGGGAAAAATGGAAAAAGTGGTAGGAAGCTGGGAAAATCCACGCAAGGTGCGAGCGATGATAGGGAGGGGTTTGTTTGAGATTGAAATTAGGGTGTTATTCTACTCTGATGGCGTGCCCTGGTGGGACATCCCGTAGTGCCTCTGTTCCTTTATCTGACCAAGTCTTAAGCTTTGCCAGAGGAACGGAAACAGGCGCTTCAGAGGCAGACTATGTTCTCTATGTTCTCAACAAGAATAAACCTACTTTGGTTGACCGCGCTCTAGGCCCGAGCCTTAGTTGGGGGAGGAGACGCGGCTTAGTGCCCCTCTCCAGCCACTTTGACACCCGAAAAAAAAATCAGCTATGTTTGCCACCATATATAGAACTAACGATTATTAAGAATTATGAAACAACACAAAAATTCATAGAAAACTTTCCACCCTGTCTTCATAACACATGCCAAAAAATAGCCTAATGAGCTGTGAAGCCCCCAAAGCGGTTATTCGGGAGGCAAAGTGCTTCATATGGCTGTATGCAAAAACTAATCTGAACAGGCCAACTTATGTGCCAGAAAATCAAATCAAGACGGTGCCTAGCGAGCGGACAAAACAACGTCAAATGGCATTCAAAGATGGAGCTATCCCCTATGGAGGTGGGTGGGGGGACGGTTCATAACTGCCACAAAAAGAGCGATTCACCACCTGGAGATTCCCCTCCCCAACGCCGTACATTTATTTTGTGTTCCGACACATATAGGCTTCGTCTCTATCACGGCAATCCCACTTCTGCACAAGGAGGGGCCCTTTAGATGCCCCTCTTCCCAGGGCTATCACCAAGTTTGGTTTTTCCCGACTGCTACTCGAACGTGAAGATGAGATATAGTAAGCGCTTTTTTGATCAAGCCCGGGAAAAGCCTTAGGGGTCAAATTTGGAAAATTCTTTCTTTTTCTTAGAAACAACACGCATGATTTTGAAAACGTTCGAAATGTCACATGACCGTAAAATATTTGCAATTCAAATGGCAATCCTACGATGATTTAGCGACGCGAGGAAGAATATGAAGATCGTCATTTTTCAGTGCACTTATTGTATGTGAACTTTTTGGCGTTAGACAAAATTACAACTCAGAAACGCCGCTTTAAGCGACACGAAAAAGGCTTGTGGGCGAGTAAAATTACGCGAACTCTCAATATTCCTTGACTCTCTCCTAGACTTATATAATTGCCTAGACCGAGAGGGAAGACCTGGGGGTGCGCCTGGGCACTGATTTCATATGTGAACAAAAGGGAATGTAGCATTATGGTATTTCTAGTACTGCATAAGGGGGCTATAAGCTTTTCTACTGCTGACCCACCCACAATCAAGTTTTTCCCGAGGACTATAAGAACAGTCATCCACGAAATAGATTTTCTGCTAAAGCAACAGTCCTGTTGTGGATTTCGTTGACAACATTTTTGAAAAACGAACTCTCAGCGGTGAACAATCCTAGAGAAAGTAATACTAACAGATTGCAAGCTTTGACTACCTGGTTTATCTGATAAGGCAAGCAGTCAGTTGTCATGTTGGGCACGATTATGATACTTATGTGCTTACGTTTTGTTGAGTCATATTCGAATGATCACTCGACATGTTCTAGGAAATGATTTTTCGGAGCACTACCTACAGTATATATGAAAAGAGCGTTGCTTTTTCCAATCTCTATCAAGATATCTGGAGACTGATATCCTCGCGTAGCGAGTCATCCGGGATGTGTATGTAATGTATGTGTGGTGATGTGTTGTGGTGTTTGCGGTGGTCTGAGAGGAGGGGGGGGGCTCCGCCCATTTGGGTCTTTGCGAATAACGTCTTCTCTATCCAACGTTGTATTAACGAGAAAGGGTATTTTGAGCGAAAGTTCGCACGCCGATGATTGGGCTATGTAACGAAAGGGTTCATGGCGCTCGTATCAAAAGTAGAATCCCCAACAAGGTTCGTATGCTTGTAAGGAATCCCGATCTCCTACATTCGTCAATAAACGCACCTTCAGCGAAGACAAGTACATATAAGAGGTAAGAGGCTATTGCAGATCCTAAAGTACATCCAGTAGCTGGAAGTGTCCGCATCCATATTTCAAAAAAAGACAGACTTGGGATTTTTTTTTTCGAGTTCTATGAATCCTCGAAGGAATTCTCTGGAACATGACTCAACACACAACAGCAGCTACTGATCATATTCATAATTCTATGAACTCGCGCGATAGTTAAAATGTGAGTAGACAGGGCGCTAAAACCTACTAGCGGAGGAAAAGAGAACTGTTTCCGGGAGATCCCACGAAGCAAAAGTCGGACCAATGCTCGATTTTCTGGACACTGTACTTCTAAATATAAATGAGGAATCAGTTATATTCGATGCTATTCTATGGCTAAAAGAGGCAAGGGAAGCCTAGCAAGGAATCCAGTAGCTTCGGCCATCTGAGGATATGAGAAAAAAAATCGCGGGCAATGATCAACCAGACGCAAAAAATATCAAGTAAGCAATTTTTGACTGCAAAGGCAAGTAGATTTCCATTTTTATGGATTCTCGTTCTCACTTTTGGTGAGTCATCGCGGAGAGATCAGAGGGGGCACGCCTAGCGTGCCCAGGCAGGTGAACGCCTGCGCTTTAGCTTATGTGGGGTCTATGACGATATCCTACAGTCAAGCATTGTCAGTCTTCGGATGGTAGGGCGTGTCAAGGGGTTGTGTTTGGCAAACTGCCAGCCCGTTTCCATCACCTGTTGAAGTGTTTATGTGACAACAACTGGTGGAAACGACATTTGAACAACGTGGTACAGTCTTATCGCTTTCCCAAGAGAGAAAAAATTGGTTGGCACCGAGAAAAACGCAAACGCACTAACACGCCCTATCATTCGCAGTGAACGAGACTATATCTCAACTGACCTTGCCGGTGGCATTGCGTTCCCTCTGCCGGCTTCTGATGGTGTTCCGCCGTTGGATCCTTGCCAAATTGGTTGCGGCGAGAAGTCGTCGTCATCATCATCGTTACCAACGACGACGTCGAACTTGTCCGAGACGGCCATCTCCTCGTCAGCGCTCTCCGATCGTACCATTTTTCACGTTTGCCGTTGTCGTCACAGGACGTTCGCCCAGAGGGTTACCTATAAAAAATAAAAATATAGGTAAAACAGTTGCGGGAGAAAGGGTGAGTGAACATAACACGTCGATGGAAAATCCTCGAGAAAGCTTGCGATTCTTCGTGGGAGGCAAAGTCCTTAAAAACAGTTCGGAAAACTAACAAAACTGTTTTTTTTTCTGAGTACAAATACGAATATAGTCGCGTTCATACCTTGCGACTGATGAGATTGAGGGCAACTTGAGAGAATGCGCGATGAGGAAAATATAGGTATTGACTGGCGACTGTGAAGATCCGACCCGGCCATTTGAGAGCATCGGCATTTCAAGCGATGGCGCGCCAAGGCAGTGAGTGGGTATCGATCGGTGGCGATTGCTAGCGATTGATGTCTCAAAACCGCCAAATCGCTTGATCTCCGCAGTCCTAAGATCGATACCTATATATTTCTCGTCGCGCGCTCTTGAATCGCCAAATCTCCTCAGACGCAAAGTATGAACACGGCTCAAGTCCTAAAAGCTGGATGAATAAATCTACAATTCCGGGAAAAGACTAGTGAGATGCTGAGCGATCAGCTGATTTTAGAACTCGCTAGAGCCGCGAGCCTTTCATGGAGAAGGATGAAAGTTTAGAGCCAAGACGAGGTTCGCAGGACACCATATGACAGGTACTCATCCAAGTCCACCCCAACGTGACTCATAGTGCAACAAGAGGGGGTGGAAGCTCGAATTAGGATCAGTACATGACTGCTCTGCAGAGGTTCAGAAGTACTATAGAGAGCTAAAGATTAAAGGAGTACGGCCCGAGCAGGAAGAAACGTGGCACAAAAACTTGGACAACATTAACCCTCAATTATTAGCTAGACTAGCCGTTACAATACATACTATACACTGGCGGCGCAGTTCGGCTTAGGAGGGCATTTTGGATTATCACTGGTTTCTTTTGTTAGTTCTTGTTAACATACACATATCCTACCATATTAAAACCTGTAAACTCTTGTCAAGTGTAAACAAAGCTCCTGCTATAGCATAGATCTATGGGAATTTACAGTTCTAGCATAAAAGATGCACCGTGCAGTGATCGATTGGAAGCCAGCAAAAATGGCCGCCTTTCCACGCGAATTGGCCTAATTAAGTAAGATTACATAAATCAGCAAAAAATAATAGTCAAAAATCAACACACGGCCATTCGCACGCAAACAGCGAGCAGCGTTACTTCGCAGCGCAAAACGCACAGCGTTACTTTCGGCAGGCGCTATTTTATCCATTGCTCCTTATTGCGGCGATTCAAAGTTCCGGCGATGCCGAGCGATATCAGTCGCGGCGTTTTTGCGAGTCAGATGAAACCACACTAGCTAACGTTGTCAGTCCGTTGCCGTCTGTAACCATCATGACGATTTTATACAAATGAAAATGGGTTAGCAGTTGTAGTGGTCCCAGGATTAGCGGTACAGAGTAGTCACAGTTACTCAGCGCTGCGTGCGAATGAGTCACTCGAGTCACGAAGTATGAAACGCGAGTTCTTAGCCAGGCCAGAAGACCTCAAGCGAGATTTGAGAGAAATTAGCAAAAAACGAAAAGACAATTGAGACCTGCAAAGGTCAATAGCGTAGGGTTAGACAAAATACAGGACAAATATGTGGTCTGGGAGGTGAAACACTGGCTTGTACAATGGCTGATTCTCGCAAGTCATTGCATAAGCCAGTACGATACCGAATGGAAGATAGGAATGCATCCGAATACGAAAGGGATTGATCCAGCTGTATACACTTACGCGAATCGTGAGTTTGTTAACCGCTGGTCGCCGAAAAGTAGGTGCAAATGAGGAGAAAATAAAAAATGAAAACTGAAAATCTAAACAGTACGACTGTATTTCCAGTTGCCTTCAATCACTTCATTGGGCAGGATTTTGCCGACAGCCTCTTGTCTTTTCAAAACTTCGCTGAGAATAACGAAGCCTATGCTGGAAGTCTGAAACTTTCAAAAGCAATTAATGCCCTGAGAAATGATGACTTCTACACCTCAGATCCCGAAAATACTCCTCCAAGCTTGAAATATACAACAAAGAAGTCCAATGGAATAGTGGGTGTGATGTGGATGCGACCTTGAAAGTGTTACCCACCCCCAACCCCCGAGACAACTTGGGGAAGGTATGGTGTACACACGGATTGACGATCCGAAACAGCTCAACAGCTGATCAAAGGGATCACTCACTGCTGGAAGGAAAACGCCGACGAAAGGCGTCCTCGAGGGGGGGGTGTCAAACTTACTCCTCGAGATAGCCACAGTTCACAACAGGAACTTGTTCTCAAACTTCTTTGTGGATATTTCCCTACTTCAAGGAGTGATTTCGGGATCTTTCGGAATCTGCAGTGTAGTGGCCTTCATTTCCATGTGCATTGGTGACTATTTAAACTTCTAACATGAGCCCTGCCCAGTGTCTCAGAGAATCGACCAAAAACTGGCTCGACAAAATCCGACGCAGTTTGCCTTGGTGGGGCCGTTTTCCTTGTTCCCATCGGTCAGTGAAACGTATATAGTGTAAAGCTAAGCTCCACTCTTAGCAAGAGGCTACAGGTCTCGCCAATGCAAGACAAGTGTAACACGCACTAGGACAAGCGAAAGAAGAAGATGCCCCCCCCATTTCATGATTAATTTGGCCCCTATGAAGATCACCAAGAATGCGCACCGCCTGCAATTCGAGCATGCAAAGCTCTTAAAGGAGACCGTAAATTGAGTGCAGGATTGAGCTCATTAGAAGAGAACACGCATGAGTATGCTCCGCCTCTGAAGGCCACACCATGACGATGAGATGGAGCAATGATCGTTCACGAAGATCCTCATCCTTAAGCCCTGGCTAAGCCCAAAAGGCCAACATCACTCACAACCCTCACCGCCTGCAATTTCCAAAAAGACGTTCAAGGGAGAGGGAAGGAGCTTCCACTCCTCAAAGGATATCTCTTCCCAATCATGCAGTTGCGAACCCCTGTGAGAATTCGGGGTAGTAGTTTGAAGACCAAAATGAACTCCAGCTGAGAATAACCAGGTATTCGGAGGTCCAAAACAGTCCATGCAGAGAGAGTAGGGGTAGCATTTCGCCCCATCTTCTCACCATGGGGCGATCTGGCAGCGAGATAGGTAGTGATTGGCGATACAAAATAAGAATACTGGGCAAGAACGCACGTAGTGAAACAGAAGTAATTGACAACGAGATTACGCTTTTCGGAGCAGTTCGGCCGACGGAGCGGGGGGGGGCAATTTAGTGGTTTCAACCGCTTCACCACTTCCCGTTTACAAGCCCACGGAAGGGGAGTCAGCTCGTCTAGCCCCATGGTGACTAAACGGTCAACTAAGAAAAGATTATCTAAATGGGTCGACACATCGATGCGAAGCAAAATGCCCCCACCTCGTCGCCGAATTGTTCCCGCTCCTTCATCGCATATTCACATAAAATATACTTCCTACAGATTAGAAATGCCGGGACAGAGGGTGTAGTCCGCTGTGGGGCCATGTTGCTAACTTCTGTTTACTTACCGGGCCACTACGAAACAGTTACAGCTTAGAGCTTGGTTTTTTTTTGGAGAGGCATTTGAAGAACCTCTTGTGCAATACTAGAACGTCACACAAATGGAAGTACCCTCCAAATCGGTTCGCCGACCCTCAGCTCGTCCCCTTTAGGATTAGAGCTTAGATAAAAGCCCTCACCTCCATTGCCGAATCCAGTTTTGCACATGGGAGTCCCTCCCAAGGCAAACATGAGCGCCCGGTCTTCATTTCTTCTAGGTGTTTTTTTTGCTAGACGACATTTGGATCGAGGGGTGCGAAGAAGGTAAGGGGCCAAGGATTAGGATTTTTGCACAGTCTAGAGGAAGGATTGTCAGTGAACAATTTGTACAAAAATAGCTGCAAATAAAATTGTAATCTTTCACAGCCTTACAGGAGCCTATAAAATGCCCCCTCCCCTTCAGCGTAACTCACTTGTGCAGACAAGTTCTTTTTCAAAGCTCTCAAAAATACAAATCGTCCATTACTCAAGTTAGAAGCAAAAACAATATAGAATTAAAAAAAAACTATTTCTTGGCTACTGGGGCCCATGGGAGCGAAACAAATATGGCTCTTGAGAGAAAAACAATGCATTACAATGTGATATCTTTGAAAGAACTAAGGAAAGGAACAAAATGTGAGGGAATCGACTGTGTTGGAAATGTTCGCGACAAGGAGCGGGCTACTGAGGATTTTTTGCGATTCTCCAAGCAGCTGTTCGAATGGTTTCCAAATGAACAAGTTCGAGAGTAATGGACGCAATCAATATCGACTAATCCAAAGATCAATAACAAATAGAAAAGGGAAAAGCAAATAGAAAGGATTAAATGAAATTGGCACGGAAACTGGGTAACCAGCTGTGAATTTTAGGCCGTGGCTGACGACCGGCGATGGCTGAAATTCGCCGTCGGCTCGAGCGCCGGCCGCGTCGCGTCAGCTGATGCGACGCGGTTCCCTGTGCACTCCTGCCGTGACGTGCTCTCTCTGGGGCACGCTAACCGCCACGCAACCGCCGGCGCCGGGACGACCTCTGCTCTGCGGATACAGCTGTTACGATGCGACGACGGCGGCGCCCCGAGAAGCGCCCCCTCATCATGCAGCGCCCCAACGCACTGATAGCGTCTGTCTCGTTGTGTGAGTTTCGCCGTACGCACCGAAAAATGTGACGGCTGGAATGAAGACACATCGACCAGTTGGGCCACGTGGACTTTTAGAGCGGAGAAACCGCGCTGGCTCAGCTGCGACCTCCTTTAGTGGCCCTAGACAGTGGAGAAACAGCTGACCATCAAAAAAGACGTCTGCAGTCTGAACGAGGTGGAAGCAGGGCACGCCATGCGTTTTGATCATTTCCTGAAAAATACACCCCCCCCCCTTAATCCCATCCTCAAATACGACCCCCTCCCCATGCTACCTACCACTTTCATAAATTTTCCCAACTTCCTACCATTTTTCCCGAAAAATTTCCACTTTTTCAGCCAAGGATTTTCCGTTAAGGGGGGGGGGGACATATACCCGATGTGAAACAGGAAAATCCTCAGATTTTCCCTAACCTCCTACCAGTTTTTCCGAAAATTTTTTGGTTTTTCCCAAAATTTTGCTGTCGAGGGGGAGGTCGTCAGCATTTCAATATCATTTTCAACTATCGGAAATAGTAGATGTATACTTCTTTAGCAGTCCCTCTCCCGAACGACCAAATACGACCTACCCCTTCATGCGTCCGTGAAACAAAGAAAACAACCAAAAAAAATTTTTTTTCAGACCAAATACGACCCCCCCCCCTCCCGTCGTGATCATCACAACGATGGCGCACCCTGGTGAAAGTCCCCAGAAAGACTTGTTCCAAGCTGTTTAAGGTAGTTTTAGGGCAGTAACGTAATGGGGGAGGGGGTACTATGCCCTCTGCGCTCTTCCCCTTACCGAAATAGGCCCGTTCCTCTTCTAGGTGTGGCACGTCGTACGTTGGGGAACCCAGCAAGGGTGTCGTATTTGGTACCTGGAGGGAAGGGAGGGGTCGCAATTAGCTTCGCGGAAAATGTTTCTTCTTGTGAACTTTTCTCGGTTTTTCCCGTTTCACTTGCGCTACACACCTTCCCTTTCTCCCCTCCCCCGCCAGCCAACGGTAGTTTTTGAGGAAAAACTGGAGAAAAAGTGCTAGGAGGTTGGGAGGATCCAGGAAGCTGGTAGGAA